TAAAAGTTTTCAAATAACTGGACTTGCTTTTGTTAAAAACTAATCACCACTTCTCCCCACTATTACGAAGTTATTTATTCTCTCAAAAACTCGATTTCTATTTTCGGCATTCTTTGCTCCGTATCTCCGAAACGGCTGGAATCTCCTGTCTTTGCCAAAGGAATTTTATTTTCGATTTCTTGACGATTACTATAATTGATCCTACGGGAAGTTAAAAATGTACTTAACACTGGCAACCTAATTCTGACTATTTTGGCAACTGGCAACTTATTAATAATGAATATGGCTGAACTGATCTAGATGATTCAGAGAACATTTGAGTTAGATGAAGGTTTGGAATTAAGAAGAAAAAGAACTAAACTTTCAATATGATGAAGATTATGAAATGAAACTTTTTACATTTATATATATAAATATAATCTTTGTCGAAAGTTGTATATTTTGAAGAGTCTGATTTAAAATCGTGTTCAAGTACAAGGATATCCTCAAAACGTTGTGTGGGTGAATCCCGCGATCTCCCACCTCTCTCGGCAACATGGCTGCCGTCGCACGACGCAATACGATATTTATGGTGGGCCTGCTTTCGGAAAATTTGGGCAGGGGTGTATCACATAACCTTTAAAATACGATTTTAATAATTCATAATATTATCAAAAATTACTTTTTAAATAATTTGGTTTTTAGATTTGTTTATGAACAGCTATTTAGTAATGTAACGATAATAAACTGATATTAAGATGAATATTTTGAACAAATTTTATACTTTTTTGTGTAATGTTTTTTTGTTTTCTTCTTATTTTTATATTTTCAAAATTCAATGTTTTTATTATGAACGTGGTAAAAGTTTTATATTAAAACATAATTCCACGCTTTGGGTTTCTTTTCATTCAGAAGTTTACAGGTTTGATATCTGCCTCGAACAACCTGATATCAAGCAGTAGTGACATCGATTTTTGCTTGAACATGTAAATAGCAATATATTTCTAAGTAAGTGAAAATAGCCATTCTCATACGTAAACACCGTTAGAGACATTTCAATAATAACTTCAATAAGAGATAGGGCAACCGTTGGGTTGCCACGTCATCTATAGGTCATCACAAAGAGCTTATAATAACTTATTATAATAAGTTATTATTGCAGTTAATAACAAAATATTAAGTCTCAGACTAAACACTAATAATGTATGAAATGATATAGCTTTTTTCTGCTTTTCAATGTTTTTCGTAATATTCTCAAATCTTCTATGTTTCACAAATCCATGGGACCAATGATATCAAATCTCCGCTTTCATCATTAAGTAAAAATATCAAAGTGTATGATTTATTTGTAGACATAGCATCAGTATTAATTCAGTTATTAATTAATTCGCGTCGCGTACCGTGATCCTTTTTTTTTCAATTATAAAGTCTAGTAAACGGAAGATAAGGAAATCCCATTTATGTTATATCTGTTCGGTAATATATTGCATTTTGTGTTGAGTTAGTTTTCTAATAATTAGTATTTGTGTTAGCTGAAAATTATAATGGAATGTACCAAAATTGGACTGTTTT